GGCAGGAACGCATGTATGTTTCAAAGGCCAACAAATTTGTTAGCAATTGGTTTATTTGCGTTGGAAATTTGTGGACCAACAAAACACATCATTAGAATATTACTTTATTTCTTTTTTATTTAATCTTCGATTATTTGTTAGATCAGAGTTTAGAATTTATCTTCAAATTCTTAAACATTGAATTTTTGTTACAAATCTTGTTTTAGAAAATTAAACTTAGATAATCAAAACTATTATTTTTAATTAAAAGCAGATAAATAATTGTTAAATATCTACGGTAACAAGAAAGGGAGAGAAAAACATAAAAAATTTTTGAAAAGTATTTAAAATATATCTATTTTTTTAAATGCCTTTTGGATTATCATTATATTTGCACAATATCTATTTAATGTAACATACATAATTATTGTAATTTGTATTTACACTTCGTGCAAAAAGCTAAAAAGATATATTCTTTATATGTGCTATTACGATATCTTCTAAATATTTGCTCAAAAGATGTAAAAGAAATAATATTTTCCTAATATGAAGTTTCAACTGCAAAGAAATGTTATGAAAAGCATGGTGAATCGAGATTCAATGATGATCCAAGGCAAATTTTGAAGTAAAATTGTATAAATAGCAACCACGTATTTTACGGCCAACAGAAAAGACGCACAGTTCTGGCGAGGACCAATTATTTATTCACCTATGCCTTTACACTTGCCATTACCAAAAATACACGCTGTTAGCTACTCTCAGGGTCCTCAGTGCATACCTATTTCATATATGCATCTTCATCACATGGAACGTGATTCGTGTTATATACGTGCGTACTTGCACTTGAATTTAGAGAGTAGACATTTACCATGAGATTATTTCTTTCTCGAAATACATCTACTTTTATTCCCTCATTCCTCTCTTTGGAATCGTTTGTTCATAGAACAGCACGATTTCGCACAAAGTACGAATAGTGTGTAAAATAAATTTAATTTTTAATTGCACGCTAAAATCTTTTGATTTATACATATAATAGATTCGAGCGATCGCTGTATATGTCTTATTTTTTGCTATTATATTTACATTAATGGAAATTAGAATAAAACGTAGCTGTGTAAAAATATTTTTAAAAGTCATTAAAATATATTTTGATCAACTTGTAATCAACTTGTCTCTACCTTCTATTTATATGTCAGAGCTTAATATGATCAGAGCTAGAAAATATTTGAAAATTTTCTTATAGTGAAATCGTAAAGTAGTAAAATCATAAGAAACTGCAACATAATTTTTTATATGGGAGAGAGAAAGAGAAATTCAATATTTTTTTGTTTGAAATTTGTCCTTATTATTAATTTTATTATTCACAAAAAACAGGAGTCGGTTTTTTTCTGCATTTTTATTTCTTGCTACAGTAATATTTTATGGAAATGTATATCTTTCTAAGATTAATTTTATAATCACACACACACACAACAAAATTATATTTATAGCACTTTACTTCACAATTTTGTTACGTTAATATTAATATTTGTATTAATAGAAAACTTATTTTTATTATGAGTTTATTATGAAGTTTTCTTTTATTAAAATATATAATACATTCACTTACCGCTTTTGCCGACTCCTGGAGCTCCTATTACTGCTACTTTTACTTCGCACAGCGAACTTTTCTTTCTTCTGATGCCTCTAATCGCATTTGACGTCATACTACAAGCATTGGTCACTGCAAAAAAAATAAATTAGAATGGTATTGAATCATGCAGAAACGTCTAATAAATATCTGAAAAGATAGTTTCCAAAGATGTTAAATTACACTCTGGGGGGAATAGAGGAGAGGATATATGATCTCAAAATATAAAAATAACTTTAACTGCATTTTACCATTATAAAATGAAAAATATTATGCTTAAAAAACAATTTATATAAACTATAAAATCTTTAGTATTATTTTTATTATTAACGATACTCAATGTGAGTAAATTAATTATGAATATTTATTATTCTCTTCTTCTCTCCTAATATTTGCTATTACTATTAGCAAATTTAAAAATTTATGTGATTGTATTAAAAAAATTACATTCGAAAGGAAGGATTATCCAAATATATGTATTTGTTAGTATGTTTTGCATTTATTGTTAAGTTTTGTCGCCAAATTAGTATTTCGTTGTTTTTTGGATAATCGAATTACGATCTATATACCGAATGTTCCATTTCATCTAGAATGTAATAAGAAGAATGATAATTTTTACGGCATTTCGTGGCATCCACCGCTTGTTTCTCTTTGGACGCGTGTTTGAATAAATCGCGCTATACTTTGAAAGAAGAAGAGAACGGCAAGAGCGCCTGTCTAGACATGAGAGAAAGAGAGATAAAGCGAAAAGCGGATAAGACGAAGGCAAGATGTGATGGGTACATTAATAGAACGGTTTGCACACACATGTTCCATGGAATCTCGGGAATTTCTTCCAATGTCTAACAATGTACCAGGGTTACGAATACCGGGCGCGATGGGAACGATAATGCGGTTTGTTACGAAATTTCTATATAATCTCGTGCGCGATGGCATAGGTTCGCTTCTAATCTAATGTAATAAAAAGTTTATTACATTCTCTAGTGACTATTTAATCATAATATATCTTCAATTTATCATCGGTAAATAGTTAGTAAATCGAATTGTTGTGTAATGTGGAAACTAATCCAAATGCTCTTCTCTCTCTTAATCTCTGAAGTGTTAAAGTATGTGCCGATGTACTTAACGACACACTTTTCTAAATGAATGCACGTTAATGAGTCTTGGAACATTTCACCGCATAATAAAATAGCCGCGATCATATAGCGCAGAAATAAATAGATGTTGCTATAATGACGTAAAAATATGTAAATGAATACACATCTAATGTAAGTAGACAATATTTAACACAAATACTTTTTCGCCGAGAGGTACTTTGTCTTTTCCTTTGCATAAGTGTGAAATATTTTTTACCTCTTTTCCCATTCATGTCAATATTTTATATTATAGCATTACTTAATAACTAAAAAAGCTACTAGATACTTGACTATAAAACTATAAAATATATAAAATTGTACTATTTTTTTATGTTTGGAAAAACTCTATACTCTTAACGAACTTGGTATCATGTAAAAATATACACGATTATTGATTCTCTCTCTCTCTCTCTCTCTCTCGATATTTGATTTTTTTCATTGATGAAAGATAAAAATGCCACATCTTATATTAACAGCTGACAAGCAAATATACGATACACTATGTACAACAACATATATTTAATTAAATAAGCCAAAAAATAAGGCAATCTACTTCTATTTAATATATATTTAAACTATTTAAAGTATTTTCACTTACCGGGTCAGCTAAAATACACTCTGCTACAACTCCACTAGGTATTGTTTTCCTATCGCTTTACACGTTTTATCAGTTCATATTGCAATTAAATTGTTCGTTGAATAACGATAAGAATGCACAGTTCTAACTTGGAATACAAAATGTTTCACGAAATTATCTATTGACAATTAATTTTGTGGCCTAAGATCAATAGATCGAACGCACACGAGACACTAGCGATAAAGCACAGCAAACCTGTTGGCACGATTAAATGATAAGAAAACGGAAGAAGATAAATCGGCTGATTGCGCGTCTGTCATGTGAATGGCAATAGTTTGATTCGAATTCGCGGCTTTGTGAACCACCGCGGCTCTTGGTCTTAGCGCGACTGTCTCACCCCATTCTCTTCTGGCGGCTCGCGAGGCCCGCCGGTTCCCTTATTGCTCTTAAGCCATGTACACGCGGTACCCGCTTCCGGTACAGATGTGTGCGCAGACGAAGGTCGAGATTTGAAACGGCCGATGTCCCTCCGAAGCTCACGAACGTGCCGTCTTCGCGTTGGGATATAATTGGAATGGACGTACGCGCCGCGACGCGATGGGCAATCGCGATGTAACCAATGTTTCCTAGAAACGCGGAAATTTTGCCAAATGCATCGATTGAATCGCGATAGTGACAATTTTAAAAGTCATTATATTGAATCATTTTTAATAAATACTATATAAAGTAAATGTACCAGTTAATGGACCCGATTAATGGATGAAATTATTAAGCTTTTAATGATATGTACGACAATAAATATAAATTTTTCTCATTAATTTTTTATAAACAACGAATTTATTTAGAGTTGTACGTATTATTATATATAAAAGATTATTATTTAAATCAGTGGATAACCACTGATTATATCAATCCCAAGTATACTTATTGGGTAATTAGCGAATTCACTATAAAATTTAATTAGAAAATCAATAAAATGTAGAGTCCTTAATTTTAATACTTTAGTATATATAAATTCAATGTATATGATATTGGGACTGATGCAAATATCAGTCTTTTAATTATATAATGCTAAAACTCCCTTTCCTTTTCAGTTGAATTTCATTGATTATCCAGTGTCATTGGATAATCTCACGATCAGTGATTTATCCACTGATTCAAATTTAGAGAGTAATATTAAAAATTTTTGTCCAGTAGTTGAGTCATGTTCACTAACTGATACATTTACCTTATACAATGTTTTGTAAGAATTTATTAGTTGTCTTCTTGTCAGAATTTGTTAGCGAATAAAAATCTAAAATTATTAGATGCAAAGATTTATTCAAATTTGTAAGATACTAAAAATGACACTTTTTGAGAACGCAAGATTTTCTATTTAATAATAAAATTATTAGATGTATGGTACATGTGCATGGATGCATGGAATGAATAGCGCAATATATAACTTTATAGATATTTATATTTTATTAGATGTGTTAATAGAAAATCGGAAACGAAGAAAGGAAGGAACACATAAATTTACTCCTAAAAAACATATATCGATAAAAATAAATGTTGCTGCTATGTAAAAATCAATAATAAAATTAAAATTAAGTAAAAAGGCTCAATAAATTAAATAATGTAACAAAGAAGGGCTACGAGCCTAAAACAATAATAAAATACTAAGAATTGTCAAGTAACAATTTACTATAATTTTATAATTATCTCCATGTTACATTAAAACATAGATCTCTACGTTTATCGACAGCTTCGCACTTTACTGCTGCAGGTATTTCGTTCGTTTAGAGGAGCCACGTGTTGGTAGATTCGAAAATTTCTTCCTTTCCGACTTCGTCAATCTGCTCTCGATGTCGTTTTGATGACTCTGGGCAACCACCAAAAAACCAGTTTACAACTCGCAACAGGACTGGTTTAACTCGATCTGAATAACGATTAAATTAATTTCAGAATTTTTCCAACATTAAATTATATTTACTTGCTGGAATAATTATTATAATTACACATTTTTTTTAATAAACATTTCCAATGAGCTCTTGCATTTTAACGTTGTAATTAAATATATCATTTATGGGAAAGTTATCACGAAAAATTACACATTTGAATACAAGATTAAAAATAGAGGAAAGTCGCCGATACCGACATACCATTTTGTGTTTTTAGACAATATTTCTTAAACAAAAGGTAAAAATAAAACTTTAAAAACGTAACTACAAACTGAAAAGTGTCTTCTACCAGATAGTATAAGCGGTTTTTATAATACTATTTGCAATTTTTCAATAATTAATTTTTTCGTAAGGTAAGCAAAAATGAGCGTCTGAAAAAATGGCCTCCAAAATTGACACAGTAGACAGTAACGCTACGTGTTCATATTCTTTTTATTTTACAAGCATTATCTGTATAAAACATACGAAACATACGAGTTTGTACTTCTTTAATTAGCTAAATAGATCATGATTTTATTAGTATTAATAAAGTGCAATAGTTAGTTCCTGAGAAATAAGGGGATGTCACTTTAGGATATCTATGTCAGTATCGGCGACTTTCCCCTCTATAATAATCTTTATAAAAATAGATATTACGATTAATTATAATAATTGTTTTTTAAAAATAAGTAATATAAATATATATGCGGGAGAGATAATTAAATTTATATATTCTATATTAAGTATTCTTCGTGCGATAATCTTTGAGAATAAATTATTTAATATTTTCGATTGGATTTTACTATTGGATTTATTAGATCCTACATCACTTACTACTTATAATCGTTGAATTTTCATAACAATCATGAGTAAAACTTTTTGTATCATGAGGAAATTGACGGTTTTTTTTTCGAAGTCCATCATGTCGCTTCGTGAATAGTTTTTCTGTATGTAATAAATTGTTAATTTATACTTGGTGTCATTTTTATTTAATAATATATGCATATGAAATAGTATTACTAATATAAATCACCATAACGAGAATCCATTTGCTTGTTTATGGTCATTGTCACGCAATCTTTACTTGACTGACGTTGGGAAAGAATTGCAACTTCTTCGTGCTTCTGAAAAACGTGATAGCTTTTAGATTATAAAATTTAGATTATAAAATACAAAATGATATTTAATTTAAAGAATGATTAGAATATGATAATTAATTCAGAAATAATAATATTATATTATTACATTATATTACAATATAATCTAATGATTGCACACGCACATGTACACATACCATACAATCAAAATTTTGTTTAGTCTGCATTTTTTTATTAGTATCGCTGTTGCTCATGTTCTCCTGTTTTTGGGAGGATGGAGTTTTGAATTTCCTAAAACATTATAATAGCATCTCGAAAAATTTCCTTTCCTGCTATAAAATTCTTATTTGCTTTCCTGTAGCTATCATCAATGTAGCTATTTGTTATAATTTTTCAAAAAATGAACATAATTTTTCAAATTAAATTTTATCAGGAACTTTCGCCATTGGTAGATTATTACTATTATAACTATACTTATTCTTGATGATCATTGCTTTCGCACATTAGTTTATATTTGGTGTCATTTTTATCAATAATTTCTGAAATCATGCTGGAATCTGCTTTCTTATTTAAAGAATTTTCTTGCCGAGAATCAATATTATTTTTTAATTTATCCGCCGACATCGTGCACGTTGTAATTTTTGTTTGCAGAGTAGTATCCTGTAAGACTACCATATTGTCTTTTTTACATTTCTCATCGATTATCGTTATCTGCTGTGGACTGTTGCTATAAATATTGATATACATATTTTTTATTAAGTATATATTATATCATAATATATAGGTATATATAAATCACATATATATATCACATAATGTTGCACGAATTCTTGTATAAAGATATAGCTATTCCTAATGTAAAAGATGTATGCTATTAAATGTTTGCATTCTTCATGTATTAACTATATGATATTTCAAAGATAAGGAGACGTAAAAGGTCAAATGAGTGATATGGCACGTGTCTTTTTTTATCGAAAATGTGTAATTTTCGATGCAAGTTTAATTTCGTCGATAGTCTGACAGTGATGTAATTATATAAGTTGAAATGATAATTCTATTTCATATGACATATACATACGCGGTTATAACTGCATTGGATTCCGGCAACATATTATTGATCGCATTTTGATGATGACGATTATATCGATAACGTTCATGTTTTCCACCAATAGTGTGCTTTGCGCGAAATTTCTTACTTTTGTGTTTTCTATATATGAAATTCTTATATATTATTTATTAAGACATTAATTTTTGCGACCCATTAATATTTACATAATAAAATATTAAATATGAAGTCACATTTTTTATATCGATTATACTTTTGTAAGTTATTAGTTGATTTATCTTCATAAAAGAAGACTAAGGTCCGCGGTTTTTCATTACCTGGTTAATTTGTGGTTAGGTTTAACCTGATGTTTCCAATGGGCTTCATCTGTGATGATGTCATGGATGAAGCCCGTTGGGTGAAACATCAGGTTAAGTTTAACTACAAGTTAATCAGATAATGAAAAACCGGACCTAAGTAAAAATACAACTGACCTTATTGATTTATGATTATCTTTGTCCAAGTTTGTTTTATTAATGTATTTTTGACCATTTCTTGTATTTTCTTCGTATACTTTTCGATATAGTTCTTGTATTCTTAGTTCTTTATTTTCATTTTCGTATCTCGCTTTTATCTTTTCAATTTCGTCTATATTTAAGGCAAACTTCAATCCGTTTGCAACGGTATCTATCAAGATGCAACATGCTCTTCGAGCATCTAAAAAGCATATAAAATGTAATATAATTTATTTGTACATTATAAAAATTTGACTTTAGTTGTTGCATGAATTTGTTCCACTTTATTCTTTTCTCTTTATGATTTAATAAATAAATAAAACTTAACAGAAATACAAATCTGAAAGTCCCAAAAATTTTTCTTTTTAGCTTAAAATGAAATATTATATATTGAAATCTTGAGTGGATTACTGTAACTAAAAACATAAACGATACAGATATGATATATTTTAACAATAAATTGCGGAAATTTACGGTAAGAAAAATATTCTCGTAATGTGATATTACATAAAATCGTTATTATATCCGAAAGTCAATTAAAAATTATAAACGATGATAAAAATTACAAACGGTGATAAAAGTTCTCTCTTTCTTTCTTTTTTTCGTTTCTTTTTCTCCTTTCACTTGGTGTTTTTCCTTTTCCTACTTACATGAACGTGACTTGGGCACGTAATACAAAACGATGCCACACAACATTAACGCGATTAACGAGAGTCGCTTCAGGTAGGTGATCCACTCAAGCACACAGAATTTCTCGTCGAAATAACCTGATGAGTAAAGAAGGAAGTCACTTGAATGACGAGAGAAGACATCACTTTCTCTTACCATATCCATTTCGCGATTTAGCGTACACGCATTGCGTAGCAAACGCGACGATGAGGACTATAAATTTCACGGTAAACATTAGATGTATTTGTTTAAGTATTATTTTTCATTATTATGTTTCAATCATTAATGGTTCTGGATAAAAGAGAAAAGGAAGAAAGAATTTGAGTGACACACGCGTTCTGAAGCGATGTCCGTCACAACGTAAGAAGCAATTTCACTTCGTTTCAAACATTTCCAATTATGTCCAACTTACGCCTTAATTATGCTTGATGGACGGCTAATATGGCCATAAGTTAATAGTTATATCACGCATTTATGGGATTTTCACTTTATAATTACAGACATGTCGCGTAAAAAGATAATAACACGTGTAAGATTCATATCTTAATTTTTTATTATGCTCTGAGTACTTTACAATATAATACAAAGGAAACATGTCATAAGTATTGACCATCTTTACTACAATCTAACAAGGGTGGGTTACATGCACGTACACGTACGAGAAAAATATTTCATACGGGTCGATGCGATAACATAGCGTGCGCAAGCGGGAACTCGCACTACTCGCTAATTAGTATTATCTTTCTAAAGCAATATCGCTTCGTGACTTCCGGAACTGTTTGGGGATTATAGTCTCCAAAGAGTTCAATCGAACAAGAAACGATACAGCGCCCAGATGCGAACTATCTAAGTAAGAACACAACTTAAAGATATTCTTTACGAAATACTGTTTAATTCGATGCAGGTAAATTAAGTGCGACAAGCCAATAAGAACTAAACGGTCACTTCTTATCGGCTAGTCCGGGTGAACCGCCCAACGAGACTCGGTCATACAGCCACGATGTGACAATTAATTCGCGAAAGAAGAGAATACTGTACGCTCAAGTTTGAACAACAAATTCTATCGCGATGAGGAATCAATCCCGCGAATTCTACAAGTTCTACAAGACTACGATATAATTCTTAGCTACAACCATCTCGCGTTATAATTTTTGCTAAATAGACTGTACTACGAATTATCGGGGCAGATGCCAGTGTCTGCTGGATTAAGTAAATTCATGTATATATATAACATAACGTACTAACATAATAATACAATATTATATAATAGAATAAAACGAAATAATAATAATTAATAATTAATAATAATATAATAGTATTTTGTGAATTTTCCATATGTGTGTTCGCGCAACTATGGATAAAAAGACAATGTTATTTTATTTATTTAAAGATAACTTTGTGATATGTATTTCCACTCATTTAGCGTCTTAAAAACAAAAAGATTGGATTATCACAATTTATTTAATTAAGTTGTATGATTATCTTGACGAAACGTAACGCAATACAAGCTGACATTCGCGTACATCAAAGTAGATTCACTGTTTATAATCAATGCGCGTACACGCATATAACAACGTAAATGAACAACTTTATACACGAAATGAAAGACGAGTCACGCAATAAAAATTATGACAATGAGATGATATGCTCCACCGAACCTGGAAGCTGAAGTTTCGATGCAATTCAAAATGTTTTTCTTATTTAAAACAAACATCTTTCGCGATGGTCTTATAACTTCCTTAAAATTACTGGATCAAACTAGTACGCTTTCGAAATATATCATTAAAAGACTCATTAAGCTCTGTTACAATTACTAGGAAGAACGTTTTTTATAGTACAATAATTATCTGCTATTCTTTGATAGATTATTGGAAATTATTGTCACCAAAGAGTTTAAAGATTATTTAATTGGCTAAGTGATCGATTTCGAGGTTCGATGGTTCGCAAAAGGAATAATCGAATCGTAAACGAAAACGCGGAAGTTTTCATCCTTACGCAAATTGTCTCGCTTTCATTTTGTTGACGGCATTCGTAAGGTGGGTCATCTCGGTATTGAGTTGGGAAATCAGATCCTCCAGTCTATCAACACTGTCGAGGACTTCGACGCGTTGCGTATGCGGATTGAACCTGACCTCGAATGGCCGACTCATAGTGGCCACCTGTAAGAGAAACCAAGGTTCATGACTAAGCTCTATCTATCAAAGTGAGAAGTAACAGGTAGCGGAAGTGAATAGGCTACTATTCTTTATTTACAATAAATAGAAATAAAAAATATTGAAGAAATTAAGAACGTAAAAGAAGATTGGTCTACTTCGATTCCAATACTTTTGAGTTTATCAATAAGTGCACATATAGCAAGAGTTGAAAACTTTGGCAAATTGCAGAAAAAAAGAAATTTAATTCGAAAAAAAAAATTAAAATTTAATTCGAAATTCATTTCATTAGTTAGGCTATACTGAACACAAAGCGACTTTACTCAATTTCATGTTCGATTCCATCGAACACATTAGAAATAATTAGCATTTTCGTACTTACCCAACGACGGAATTTCTCCTTGGCATCCTCGAAACTCTCGGCCACATAATATATCGGCTGATATTCTAGAGCGGTAATTGATGGATCGAAAGCTCGATGTTCGCACTTATCGCTCAATGCGTGCAAGAGTTCACCGTAGGCTGACAACAAGCCAGCACCATAAGCCTTGACTTCAGGACCTTCCTTACACAAACCGAATTCAACCGTGAACCAGTAGATAGTTGATAACTTCTCGATTTCTTCATCTGAAGCGCCGAGAGACGCTAATCCAATTTCTTGCGAAAATTGAGCGAAACTCGGATCGGCCAAAAGCGGCATATGGCCCAAGAGCTCATGAATGCAATCTCTGTAAATAGAAAAAAACAAACTTAAAGAATAATGCCACGTGCTTGTCTCAAAATTTGTCACTCTTAAATTTATCCGTTTTATTTATTAGTTTAATATTTAAATTTATTGCTTAAGTTAATTTAAATGTGAAGATTTGTAATTAAATCATTGCAATCTGCAATATTTAAATGCTTAATTTTATATCGGCAGAATTTTAAATGCATTAAATAAATTGAACATGCTAAAATTAATTGAAATACGTCATCAAATAAATGGCGCGAACTCAAGGAGCTATTCCATTCTTACAATTTGTAAAGCTATCTAGAGTCTTGGAAATCATACGGTGACATGGATCGCTACGCGGAGAAACGAGTTCGTAACTGTGGAACTGAGTTATCAACGCCATCGTGTCGTTAAAAGCCAATTAGAGTTCCATTACGAGCTTAGAGAGGCGTAGTAATTCTATTATCATCGTTCTCTGTGTACCAGCGGGTGCAGGCTCCCGTCATAACGCAATATCGATTGCCTTGCAGTTTGACACGAAGGGGCAGCCGTGATGCGGAGTTAGAGCGACCTTTACAATGCCCGATTTTTATGTAAAGATGCGTTGCAACTTTATGCTTTCGATGCGATATTTTATCGAGTCTCATTATGAACTAGTCATGTATAATATGTTCTTTTTATCTATATACTTTACAGCTTATACTGAATCATAATTATAAAAAAAAGTAAAAAAAAAAAAAGTTTTTAAAGTTTTAAAACTTTCTGGACAAGATGATTCGCAAATGGCATGTTCAATAGATTTGAATTTAATCTTTATCCATTTTTTTAGAATAATCTCTGAATAACGTAACAGAATCATTGAAAGCAAATAATTACTCTATTTCACAATAACTATTTTTTGGTCCCGATAAATTCGAACTAATGAAAATAATAAAAATTAAAAGCACTTACGGTTCGGGAGTGTGATACGGGCTGTTGATGTGGCGGACATATTGGGTGCTCTGGAATATTCTGAAGGCAAGACTGGACAAGAAGTCCCGCGCTGTCAAGAGACCGGCGGCCGGTCGAAGAGTGAATCCCGTGCTTTTCTTTAAGAAATCGCTGACTTCCTGCAATTGCGGTATACGGTGAGACTCGAAGATCCTCTCCTCTTGCAATTTCTTAAAGACTCTCTGGTATTCCACGCACGCGTGTTTCGGCACCAGGTCCAATACAGTGTTGAAAACGCGCGACCAAGTTTCGTTTTCCGTCTCGGTGTAAGGAATGGAAGGTATCGGGTCGCCGTACTTGTAAGCGAAAGCGATTTCGGCAATGACCTTGCGACGAGCGCGATACTCTTTGTCGGCGAAGCCTGGATGATTCATGTCGAGATCCGGCTCGTACTTGGTCATTAGGTGGTTGCAATTGTCGAGATCGGAGGCGTGACGGGGAAACCAGGGATCTTTGATGCTGACGGAATTGTCGGCGAGCAGGTTCACGCCGTCCAAGGCCGAGCTTTGTCGTAGATTTCTAATCAACTGCAACAGGCTCTGTCTGCTCATGTCAATTTTGACCAAGACCTCGAATTGCAGACCCTCCTTCTTGGAGGGCCGTGACTCGACATGAGTGATCGTGCCCTTGAAATTTTCGATTGTCTTTAGGATCCTGCCTAGAGAGCCGATACCCTCTCGCAATCTCAATACCAGCGCTGCTTTCTGCACGTTGTGCTCGTTATCCGGAGATTCGGCTATAGTTTTCGCGAGCACTACTTCCTCTTCAGTTAATCCGGCATCTGTGAAAAATCGAACATCGTTTAGTTTTGTTTGATATAATGACATCCAAGATTTTTCGAAATGAACTTGAATTATTCGTCAAATAATTTTTGTTAAGATTTCTCTTAAGACATCTCTTAAAAAGATTTTCGTCGCAAAGTGACATTGTTCTTTGGGACACTTACTCGTGTACAGTTAATAAAAAAATTAAAATAAATAACTTTAACAAACGATAAAAGGAACTCGGACTTAATGAGAGTTTTTTGCGCAGTAATTGGTGCGAAAACAGTTATCAAATTTCTAATTTAACAAGTGTTTAATTAAACCGATAATGATACAGACGTTTCGGCTTCTTTTTGAGCCATCTTTAGTATATTAAATATATAATTTCATCCGTACTTCTATATGGCCAAACGGGTAGGTGACGGTTCGATTTCATCCTCAGTTGTATTGACACGTGATTGATAAATCCAGTGGCAAAGAACTAACTGATGAAAATTTTGCGTTAAAGAAAAAGACGTTGCCAAAAATGCTTGAAGGAAGAGAAAGTAAAACGCTCACCCGTATAGCCACGACTGTTCAAATTTCAAAGAACAAAAATCCGCTGAATTTTCATATTTTAATTGACAAGAAACTGAATTTTCATATTCTAATTGACATGAAACGCTTCTAACGGAGATCAATCTTCGAATAAGTCCACGATGTATATATAATAATAACAAACAATAATTAATAAACAACATTGTATGCTTGTTTATTTGATCGTTTTGTAATTAATAACAAACATGCTGATAAATTAAAAAAAGACCGCAATATAGAAAATTCGAAGTATAGTAAATTCAAGACACGCGCGTAAATCAAATTTCATGTAAATTGTTGAGAATCGGGATATATGCGTTATGTAAAAATTCCGTGTCTGATTGAAGGTTTAGCTTCTTTTTTTGTAATTGGATATGTAACATTTCAGAAATACGTCTTTTGTGAAGGAAACGTTCGTTGTCGAGAACCTACGTATTCTTCCAATCAAAATTATGGTTGTGATCTAATCTGTATTCTGTTATAACCGTATGGTTTTGGGTGTTTCTTCGGATATCATTGCGATATTCTGAGATTCTCGTTTTTAAAGTCCTTCCTGTCTGTCCAATATAGGAGACATCGCAGTCCTTACAATATATTTTATATACGACGTTCTTTTTTGCCTTATTAGGTAAAGGATCTTTGTGTGTCTTTATGATGTTGTTCAGACTAAAAAACTTGATGTTAAGGTCTTTGATAATGTTTTTAAATTTATCTGAAATATTCAACACAAATGGGATCGTAAACCATGATTTATTTACATTTTCTTCTGTGAGAATTTCAGTATTAATGTTTTGTTTTAGTGTCTTGTTGCGCAGTAATGATCTTAATCGTTGATTGTGTCAAAAATGAAATCATACATTAAATAATTTTAATGTATATATCACAACTCGTCTTTATATCTCTGCTATAAATCGTAATTCTCAATTCGTTATTTGTTGTAACATTCTTAACTTGACGACTCGCTTCGACATCAACAATAATTCGCGAATTTTTTCCACAATAGCTCTTTGTTCTCCCTTTCGTCTTGATCGAGAAATACGTGTCATACAACTCCTTTAGTTAGACGACAAAGAAACTCATGCAGATATGGTTAGACGGAAACATAAACCAATGTCGGCTCTCTCGATCAATTATTAAAGACACTCTCGGTATATGTCGCGTGATTGGAATAATGCATTACTTGCAGGAAATGCGCATCATCATTTATCTCACCATTTTATGTACATTTGACATTTGAGAAAATACAAACGTTTTGATAATAGGTAAAATAAGAAAAGCGCAAATTCGACTTATAAAACTTTCCCAGGAGTGATTCTTTTTAGGCATGATTTCTTGCAAGTACCCTAAGTGACTTCCGCGGTAATAATCGGGCAATTCAAAGTCCATTTTCGCATAGCGCTTTGCCGTCACGTCGGAAACGGTACCATCTACTTGGTTGCGGGGGTGGCGGAAAAGTGGCAAAAGCAGCCGTCATTGTCGCGGGCGCGGACGTGCCGGCGAGATGGAAGGCAACGCGAAAAGGAATAACCGTGTTACACATTTACCGCGGCCACGCAGGGTCGCTTGTGAAATCTCGAGAAAGGCTCTGCTCCGGTAATACGATTCTAAATGCACAAAGCGGCTTCGGAGGGCGAAGACGGGTTGGAAAAAGACGGAAATAGCTCGGAGACGTAATTCACTCCAAGTGTCGGCCGAGCACTCGCCCTAGTCGACTGTCGACAATGGCGATCGTTTCACCCTCCATTTACCGTCGCCTTTCTATCTTTTCACCGTATATCACGTGCGTATCTTCTTTGCACGCAATCACTCACTTCCTGTTTCACTTCTATTACGCAATGTAATGTACGACGTTTCGCGAGAACTGGACGCAATTATGATCGAAGGGATAGAAGATATACGTACCATCATCGTCATCATCATCCGGTTTTCCATCACTGTCTGATGAAGCCTCCGCTTTCGCTTCTGAAAGTTACAAGTTTCGTGCTCATGCCATATGCAACACTTATGCATTCTTGAATACTTGGCGGCAGATGCATTTGACATCAATCAATTTCACATTATAGTAAACATTATAAATATTATGCATGGAGATTATTACTACACGGAGAGAATTTTCTTTTAAAATTTATCCTGAAAATATGGTAGTTGTGGTACAATACAATGTTTTAAAGATTTTTACCATGCACTACAGTAAAATTGATCGAACTTATTTTATTGTAGTTTTATTAATGAATGAGAAAGATTTACATTAAAATGTTTCGAAATACAATGTTGTCTCACGACTGTCATATTTTCAGGATAAATTCTAAGAAAAAATTCTCTCCGTGTATATTAAATAAAATTATCATATTATAATTAATGATGACACTCAATGCAATTATGTCCTATGCATATCACGCCTCCAATTATTCAAAGAGCGTTATAAATTTAACAATATCTAGGTACAAACCTTCCTTCTTCACTGCGCAAACTAATGACTCCACCTGTTCATCATCACTTGATGAAATATCAATGTAATTTTCTTCTTGTCCTCTATCCTTAGTACAAGTAATTGTCTGATCTGCGTTCGTGTCTATTCGATAACAAAGAAACACGTCATGCATTAACATGTGCATGCATATACATATATTACTTTTCTCTGCGCTTGTACAGCGTTAGCAGAGACACATGCTTTATTTTTAAAATCTTTTTAACAGTAAACATGTGTGTGTACTTTTCTCTAATAGAGGCACGTCATATCAATATCGTAATCTTTTGTACGGTAAATCATGCGTATAGCAAATATAAAAATATTTATACATCAGACATTCTATACATCAAATATATATTGATGCGGCAATGGAGATTATATATGATAGTAAAAAGAATTAATCATGCCAGACATTCGCAAGACTTACCATTCGCTCGTTGTCGAGCTTCCTCGAGTACGCTTTGCTTCGTCTGTTTGACGACGAGCGTCTCAAAACGGGCATCGTCTACGAGGGAACGTCGTCGCGCTGGATACCCGTTCTGAAAATATAAATTAAAAGTGCGATTTATATATAATATCGTCATAAATTAAATTAAACGTAGAAAATTATGATAAATTAAATTAATAAGAATATTACTGATTAAATTCTGACAAGTGCTGATGTACTTCTATTGTAGCGTATTTTATTGCTGACGCACAAGCAATTATAGATAGAACTTTAAAGGGCGGATGTCCTTTCGTCTTGAGTTAGGTTCCGTTTTCCATGGTCTGCTCGTGGCCACCTTTGACGTGAGATGAAACGGAAATCTAACTCGTCAGTTCGACCGAGTGTCGCTTAAATCGGGTAACGAAAAAAAGGCACGGAAATGAATTTTCTCGACTTCCGTCCTGCTGTCGTTGAAGTATGGGAAATGAATTAATTCTATCAGAGAGATAAAAAGGGGTACTGCTCAGATCTTAAAAGAAAATAAATTTGATTTTTCTTATTATCGCTCTCCTATATACTTTTGCTTATTTCTTACAGTTTGATGAAAAATTTTTACCTGAGATACTTATGCCTTTTTAGTTACATGAATTTTTCAGCAAAAATTTATTTAGGATTTTATTTGTAAGCAAAAAAATTAATGTGTAAGTCTTAAGAGACAGAGACTTAAAATAAACGCTTTTACTTAGCGAAAACAGATCAGCATGCGTTACCAATCATTCAAATTCCTGACTGTCGCCGCGTTGGAGACCCAGTTGCATTTTCCAGTAAAGTCATCGGTTGGCATAGTTTAGAGAAAGCGTTTAGCAATCCCTTAACAACGTGCGTCGTTAAGTGGGCCAAGTACTTTACCGATGGAATGGTTGACTATGTCGGGAAATTGCGACACAACGTGATAACACATCGAAGAAACAGCAAATGCATGATAAATCTCATCCCAATAGATCGATAAAGTCACAAATTAATTAATGCCTATCGTAAAGCTGTCCGGAGTTGTCGGCTATCCACGTGAATTGCGACTATCGTACGTGAAAGTGACGAATATATGCAAATATTTGTCGACAGCTGATGTACAAGACGGTGACTGTCCGTTCGAGGGAAAAAGAATGAAATGGCGCGACGATAACTCGGCAATAAACGATGCGAATGTCCAATCGAGCAAACGGCAGGTACCGTAGGAATGTTGTTTCCGACCTTGTAGAATAGCACGAATGTATGGCCGAAGATGCAAAAGAAACGACCTCGAGTTAGCAAGTCGAGTAATTATCCACTACATGGCGGAGGAGTCGCATCCGTAGATAAACAGGATCTCTCTTTACACCTTCTCTAGTTGATTTTGCTCCGGATATTCGTTCTTATTTTTTTCAATACCTAACTTCTTTTTAGCATTTTTGAAAAACTACATATGGTATAATACAAGTGGCATGTCTTAATTAAAGCATTAAAAAAATTATGTTTTACTTTAGGTTGACTGTGTTGTAAGAGGTACTTAAATAATTACTGCAGTAAATAATAGTAGTAGTATTAAATCGAGATGTAGATACAGATGTATCTGTGTAAATCATATAATTTTATGATCATTCATTATAGTTTCGATTATTATCTATTATATAAAAAAGCGTTTCTAACGTGTCTCTAACATAGCGAATGTCGAATGATTACGGTGCTAATACGACGTAATATCTCGTGGATAATATATAACCAAGGTTGATCATTAAAATTACACTCGCATAATTTAGCTCGCTATCTGCCCAATTATTCGAACGGATTTTGCTATCTCGATTGATTTTTATATCTATCCAACGATTATAAAAATCATATTTTATGATTATTCGTTATTTACGATTCTGTTTCAACGATAGTAAAAATGGAAATATAGTAACAAGCTAAGAAGTTATCTTGGAATCTGACATACATTATCTACTGCGTGATATAAGTAGTACCTTTAATCTACTACTGTTATTTAATGATTAATTCAGTTCTAAAATGTATCCTTTATCAAAAGAATATGATTTTTAAATGCTTGTTTTTTTTAAATTGCGTTACCAAAAATTGCGTTTAATGTTTTTAGAAATCTCTGCGCGAAAAAAAAGGACTACACAAAAAATAATGCAGCAAGTGTGTGTTCCTCGTTCTTAACGCAGTGCATAAGGGCGACTAAGAGCGAGCGAAAAAGCATACTTCGGTGAAACTCCAGCGGGCAAATAATTTGTCTTTGAGTATTAATTCGAACTCATAAAATCGCAATCGTACAGTTGAATGCGCGACCGAGATACATAATGTATCTCCACACACGCACACACATTGAAATCTCGCATTAATATAATCCTTTTCACCCTGGAAGAGAGACAGGTCGTTGCGGTCCAGGCAAAATAATCGGCGTTTAAGCAAAACGATTAGCATAGCGACTCGCGCTAATACGTGTATAGACGAATACACATGCAGCACGCGCACGCGAGTTGCAAGCGCCGAAGGATTATAGTTGCGAATGCAACGGGTGCATGTGCAGTGAGCCTCCAAAGGCGAATAACGGGTGCAGTGTTCAGGGCCTCTTTCGCGTATCTCTCTCTTTCTCTCTTTCTTAACCGCTCTATACAATCACTTCATATTTATAATACATTCATAATTATCATGCACGAGGCCGGAGATTGATTTTGCAACGGCGACGACATAATCCTGCTTAATATGATCAGCAGCCTTGATACCAAGAGGGTGCTATCAGATCTTATTGCGAACTTGCAAATAAGCTCGCGGTAATTTTGTCATGAATTCGCTGAACGCTCTAATGTTATTCTATAAGCGGACTTTAAGCAAGTGGTCGCGTGAACGGATGCTTCTAGGGCAAGGTGATTCGCTTGAGAAAAACAACCTATAATCGTGTGCGTAATCATTAGTGGCCATATTAGAATTCAGAACAAAACTGTCCAGATTTTGTAAAAAAAAAACCGATAATAATCGTTATGATATATCGATATGACATATCGTATACAAAAAGGACGATTTTATTAAAATATGTAAAAATTTAGCTATAATAATATCTGAAAATAATTTTGTTGGACCATCAAAATAATTATGTAGGACGCTCAAACTGGTTGCTAGAATGTCATAACTTTTTGCAGCATTGTTCAACATGCTTGAGATTCCTACATAAGTATTTTGATGGTCCAATAAAATTGCTTTCAGATCTGTAGCTACCTAAATTTGTAGATACTTCGGCAAATCTATGTACGATATACCGGTTTTAATATGACTGAAAAGGAAACAAAAAATTATGAATATGTACAAATTGATTAATTAAGATTTCAATTTAGATGGCGAGAACGTGAATCTTTATTTGGTTTAGATTATTTAAATTATTCGAATACTCGGAATAACAGAAACGTGAAATAATATCCACATTGGCGACGCGATCGCGGTAGGAAATTTACTCAAGGTCGGTTTACTTTTCACCCCGCGTCGCCGTTCCTCATACGATAACTATCGATCGCGTATAACCGATTCTAGATTCGATCTGGTCCAGTCTAGATCCGGAGTGTGCGCACGCACGAGTTCCGTTTGAATGAGTCAGACTCGTCATGATCGTCAAATGAATAAAAATCGAAGTTAATACGCGCGTAATTTGAAGCGAACAACTGCAATTATATCTATTTATGGAATCGAGAATATTAAATGTGCCTATATAGTTACGTGCGTTTACTTCCGAGATTTATCATTTAAAGCAGAAAGACACTACTCGCTGAAATTGAAATCATCAGATACTCCGGCAGATGCTTTCTACGAAATAACGTAATTGAAAAAAAATTTAGATTATTTAAAGATTCCTTTAATCTTTTAAAAATATATAATATTTATAAAATATGTGTCTATATGTGTGTAGAACTATTAATTTAATTTTTCATTTGCAATTTTTAATGCATTTTTAATGCAGTTTTGAGTTTCACTGATTAGTAAGATACCTCTATCTACGTATACATTAATGATTTCGGTCCATAGAATTTACGGAGAAAGCGTAAGATTGTTGTCACATTAAAGTGACGTGTTCTTGTATTTGTACAGACGGAAGCAAATAACAAATCATACAACGCTTAGAGGAAGTCCGGGTATCGTCTTGAAAAGAAAGCACAGAGCCCAGATTCAAACTCGTCTAGATATTAATTTAAAAAAAAAAACGTTATGTCATTAGAGAGTATCAATTTCTTATTTATCGATAACGATATCCAATGCATATAACATCGTGTTAAATTATGCATGAATGAGGAAGGCAAATTCAGGGAAAACTCTGCGAATCTATGAATCTCTTCGATTAGCATTCGAATTCACAAACAAACATTAGCGATTTGTAAGCTGTTTGCACTAGTAATACTTTTGCACCAATAAATCTCGATCGTTTGAGAAAGTCACGGTAGGAGTCGAAAAGTTCGAAGTCGATTGCGATGTTTAACACGGTTGTTAAAAAGATAAGTACGACATCACGTGAGAAATGAGACATAGACCTTGCCAGTTATTTTTGCGCTGTTGCAAAATTTCGTATTGTCGTTATAGGTGCACGTACGGAGAAAAAAAAATGCGAATAACCTCGTAAAAGTGTTGATTATGAGTTGTCATATGACTTATTGGAAGTGAATAGATAGAGACAGAATCGGCCTTGCCATCGTAATCCATGATGCGTTATACACGCGACGGAAAAACGCAGCAACCTCGAAAAAGTATCGATTAAAATCTATTAGTGTGCGATCCTACGGAAAAAAATACGGTTACGTGATGAACGACGAGTTCTCGCGAGCTATAATTTGCAAAGCAGATGGATATATGTACAGTATATATTAAAAAATTGTTACACGTCGATTCCAGCTAATATTATATACTCAAGAATAGCTACAGTCGATAATTGTAAGTTTCACATAAAACCGTTTACAATTATTTATTCCCATCTTATTATACTCATCGCCGTGGAATATATGCAAATATAATTTTATTTATCAAGTAGAAGTAGAAGTGCAAACATTCGCGAGAGAAAAAGGGTGGTACGAAAATGGTACGAATATTTTGCATAACGTTTGGCAAGAAGGAAAGATGCTATTTGTCTTTCGTCATGAGAATTGCCGGTTTCTTCCAACCGTTACGTCTTCCTATAATCGAAAACAGCTGACTCGTAACCGGCTACTTCCTCGTAATCTTGTTGAATTCACGCTTCTTCAGCAGATTAAATTTTTCGCGCTCTCTGTAAGTGCCATAGGTCTTGTTGCATCAGTTGCTTGACTCGAATCGATTCTCGATCTTATGCAAATTTATGTGTATCGGGTAATGAACGGATTATTTATTTGTGTTATCTTATTATGACGTTTTCTAACTTCGAGAGAAAGAAAACTCTCTGTTATGAACAGATTCGCAACGGCCGAATAACATCAAGATTTTTATTTATTTATCAATTATTCGACAATGCAATTGAAATGTTTGTGTACTATTTACATGTTTTACGTAAATTTGTTTAAGATATTTTTTTATTATTCCAATAATACCCGATTTCTACCAATGCAGTTTAACTTTGATCTCACTTCAACTAATTCTTTTTCATCTTTTTTTAATTTTAAGAATAAGAAAAAGATGAAGAGTAAGTTGAACCGAGATTAAAGTTACTCTACATACCAATGTAGAAACGGGCATTTAATGGCTTTATTATTCCAATTTATGGTGAATGACTAAAAAATATCAAGATTTTGTTTCAGACCGGTTTTAGGTTATTGAAGTAGAACACGTAAAAAATTCTATAATCAAACTCATACAAAATGTGACCTCGACAATTAAATATTCATTAATATGATATTGCGACAAGGTCAATAACATTGTGTAAACAGGATAATAACACAGCGCATTTACTTTCTCTGCGCGAAGACTCTTCTCCATTTCGCCGGGCCTACGTGAGAATTTCACTTGCCTTCGTCTCTGGTTATTAAGATTGAGAAAGACCGGAACCGACACACATGCACCTTTAAGCGATTTTCTGACGCAATTTTTTTACCCATTTCGAAATGTACCGTTAGCTAGAAAAATCTCGAGAATCTAACTACAAAAGCAAACATGAAACACTCACTACGTATATAGAAATTATATAATTAAGCCAGAGCGCATGGCGTAGTAGCCGTGAGACACTCGTGTCTCTGTAATGAATGCAAAGTGCACGTAATTTCATATAATTCGATAAATAATATACTGTTGCATATGTACAGCAAGATCAAGTTTTGCAATTACGTTTATCGAAATATATGAATTAACGTTAAGAAACTAGGATGACAGTCTCAGCGACATTCGTATATGTAACGGTGATTTAAACGAACGACTGAATTCGCGCGCTTACTAAGGTCTTTATGATCGAACCTGTTGCTTTTGACATATACATGAATAGAACAATAGAAGCACTTTGACAATAGCAAATGTAAAAATTTTTATTACAAATAGAGTGACAGATTTATCAAACACGATTTTTCAATTGAGAAACATAAATATATAGAAAGTAGTAGTTTATATAAAAACTTTTTTTACATAATATCTAATATTTTACGGAACGTTATTCTGTGTACTTATCTAAAAATTATATTTATCCAAAAGTTTATTTTTTGAGTGACTGACGCTTCCAAGATTCTCTCGATTTTTTCAATACTTTTTAACAACTTCTAAATTACTTTTATCATTATTTTAAAATAAGACTTACCTCAATACTGTAAGACTTCTTGATGGCGAACATTTCGCGGTTCTTCTGAGCGGCTGCGACTGCCATCATATCTTCTTTATCACTCCTCTTTCTCTGATGATTAGCAATTAATATAGGTAGTTTTTCTTTGCTCGACAGTCGATCGACTTAGGCGTCTTTCAATCGTCAGTCCTCGGCCTGATATTGCTCACTGGACAATAGATGATATGCGTGAGGTCTTCACTGCCGCTTGTGAGAAATTACACGAATGGGATTCCCCGTTGATCGCGCGCTTTTTGACTTTAATATCCCGATGTGCTTCGGCTACGTCCTCTTGTGCCTCGATCCGTCCGATCTGCTACGGTTCGACTACGATAAACGACGAGGACGTCGGCGACGACAACGAGCCTCTACTACTTAAGTCCGCTTTGGACGGAGCGTACGAGCGAATGCGTCTACGGGGCGGATTGCCGCCGCATATAAACGTTGCCTCCCTTCACCGCCTGCTAATGTCGGGGTCAGGGGTGCCCCCACCCTATCGTCGTTTCGGGTGGTCCACCAGCAGCAGCCGCCGCTACCACCACCGCCGTTACAGCCGTCGCTGCCGTCACAGCGCCGCTGGCACTTCCATTGACGAAGACCACGACGATCATGAGGGGATTCCTTGCCTAGTTGCTGATACTTTCGTATCTCGTATTGGATTCCCGTAGGGCACTATCGCACACCTTTCATTCACGATACCGGAATGTCCCATTACGCAGGCGATGATAAGAAGTTACAAAATAGGGGTTCTGACGTAGTTGCAAGTAATTGCTCTTTCTCCACGTAGATTAATTGATTCTTTTTATAGTATATACGCAATTTTAGTATACTGTTGAATTTGCTAACATGTTCGGTATAATGCTTTAGTCCGGATCTACAATAGGTTTTTAAGCCTTAAGTCATAAGAAATGAACGAATCACAATTCTCGTATTCAACTATAATTGGTCAAATTCTTAAGGCTTAAAACACCTATTGTAGATCCGGACTAACAGAGAATAACGCATTGTCTGAGAATTTCTGCAAGAATATATTGAATGTAAATGCACAAATATATTATCTCGATATTAAAATTAATTATATTTTGCATTAATAAGAATAATTGCTAAAATAATTTCAAGAAAGTTTAAGCAATAATTCTTGATTCTTCGTTGCTAAAACAAACGTCATATTATGCAAAATGTGCTTTCCAAAATCGATGTTGAAACAAACTTTGAGCAAAACACGTAAATGGGACGAATGATCAAGTTACCAATATCGTTTTCTGGATTCCGCGTATTTATAACTTGTACTTAAAATAGAGTATTTATCTCGGCGAATTGACATTTCAGAAGAAGAAACATTTAAAAATATAATGATATATAAATTATTATATAATTATTATTATGTAGATTATAAAAAAATTATTGTGCGTGTGCAATTAATTTCAGAAATATCTGTAATCAACTTATATAAAACAATTTTTTAATTGTCTTTCCATGACTATCGAAATATTAAATGTAAAAAGTTTACAGCATAAATCGACAGGGATTTAGTAATTTTGTAAATAGTCATGCATCTGTTAAAGCTATCTAATCTTGACAGATTTGATACAATTTCGAGAATAATGTAGAGAAGACTAAAGGAAGTAAAAACGTCAATTTAATATCCAAAGGAATATAAAAGAATAAATATAAATAAAACAGCGAAGAAAAATAGATGATGAAACAGAATAAATATTGAACAAGTAGTCAGAAAAGAGCTATATTATAGAAACACGTGAAGTAAATAAATGCACAAATTAAAAGCAGAGATTCTGCAACTTTCCCGTCTTTCAAATTCGCATAGAATTTTAGTTCAATATTACATTGCAAACAAAGCTCGGTTAGATAAATTAAACATGTAGTTTTTACCTTATAGTTAAAAAAAAAGATACATAGGTAATTTACCACTTGACGTCGCTTTTCCTCTATAGGTTTGCGTAAACTATACATTAAAGGTCAAACCGTGATCGGTTTTGCGTTCGCGTCGTGTCGTCGGAACTAACTCCTCGCAAATGTGACGTTCGCACGATCACGCGTGTACGTTCGATCCTCGGCAATACTGCCATTCGATCGTCACTTTTGTGCGTCACGCGTTCACGTGCGTACGTATGCACGCAATGCACGCACGCACGCACGAGGCGAATGATCGCGCGTGCAATCGAGTGATCGTTCGGAGAAAGATCTTACGAGAGAAAATGCACGTGTTAGCTTTTTTATGACTTTCTAGAGATATAACTGCGAACGGTCCGGCCTCTGACGTGCGTTTGTCGACAATGGTGCATTTGGTAGGCGTGTCAACATTATTATAATGAATATTTAATAGCGGCGACACAATCGCCAATATCGTTAAGAACCTGCTTCTCATAATATATATAATGACACGATGTATACACATCAGGAGCGTAAACGAAAACAGAAAAATATTGAATTTATATATGCACAGCGTTGTGTAACAGAAGTTGGACAGAGATCCAGAGACTTCGGAAATTCGATTATTCTTGATTAATAGCCGCGCGAGATCATTCAGATACGATAGCATTCCTAGAAAAACTTATCGATTGAAAATGAAGATTGATGAGAAGGAAACCGTGCATGTATTATTTAAATCAATGCTCGAAAAAATACGTTTCTGGATATCTGGCACACATAATGCGCAGACATTAATTAATTAAAATAGTAACGTTATGAAGATTCAGGAATAATACACAATACAAGAACAATATAAAAACAATCCTATGAAAATTTATATATGAATTTAATGCGAAAGAAACGACTGTATTATACATAATTGCCTGACTTAGTAGCCTATGTTGATATTCGATTGTTGACAAACAAATTTTAATATTGAATCTTTCCAAACATGACAAAAACGGTGCGTAATATTTTTAACCGATGGATGATCGTTCCGTGACGATCCATCAATTTATTGACACGTTATGAAATTTCCTTAGACGTCATTCAGGTGTGGCAGCAGCGCATGTGATCGACGTCACGAATAGCTTGAGGACTCCCCGAGTGGCCGAGTTGAATTCTACCGATCTCCTTAGCAGCCAATCCGGTTCCAAAGTGTGGATTCCCAGACTGGGAGTTTCCAAGAGTAATCTTCCGAGCAAAAGAACCGTTCGCAGCATCAGTGAATCATGTTCCTAATAACGCGATAATGCAACCCGTGGACGCATTATTGCTTTCACTTTGCATCGTAAACGTTCTTTACGATATCAGGGGAATTACGCTGTCATGTGGACTTACGCTATCTAAACAAATAAGTTATGTAATTAATGATTAGTTGATTGATGTAATCAAATATTACACAGTTGGAAAAATGTGTTGAATTTAACATAAATCGCATGTTCCAAACGGTCCACTCAAATTTTTGAGTTAATTTTACACAAGATGAATATGTTAGAAGGTAACACAAATCTTATGTAAGAGAATAAATACAAAGAAAAATAACATTGACACAGTTTATAAACAAATCATGGGAACATATGTTAAATTAACACATATTTCATTCATTTGTCTTACAATTTATATTTTAAAACAAATTATTTTTATGTTACTTGTTCACTTACTCATAAATTGTATCATTTTGACACTAACAAACTTGAATATCAATTTCACAAAAAATCTTTAACTAACATAATCACATTATGTTAAATTAACACTCGAATATGTTAAAAAATTCAACACAAACTGTTAACACAAACGTGAGTGGACCGTTTCCAATATAAATACAAAAATTTTTTAACTGTGTAGTTTTAAACAAGTAGGTAAACATGTTTATTTTTTGTTTTATGATGAAAATTTTTTTATAGTAAAATTCTGTTTACAGAAAAAGCACAAATATTTAGATCTACAGTTTCGATTCTATAAAGTTTAGAAAAAATTTATTAAGAAAAAGCGAAACACTTATGTGTTTTACTTATCTTTAAAAAAATATAGTTGCGGCTACAATAAAAAGTGTGTAGTGTGACAACCATAAAAATTTACAAAATTTTATAGAAAGAATACAAATATATGTGAATTTCGCTGTTTTCCAAACGCTAATTTAACGTTTACTTAGTCGGTTTATTCCCATTTATTCATTATGAATATGTAACTGATGTTTGCATATTATTTATCGCTTTTATTGTATAAAAATACTGCGGAATTTATCCTCTTCATGTTGAGACTAATCAATAATGTCTACGCATATATTTTACTCATTAATTGATAGGCCATATCGATTGCTTAACTCTTGCTATTGACTCTTGGGAATAAAGCGATTATGTCGATATATTTATTGAAGAGCCGATATATGTATACCTGTTCCTATAATAATTACACTATCAAAATAATAACGGAAACGGAATAGCAGTTAAGTAATTGAGCCACTGCTGTTCAAGATTTGTAAAGATGACACTTAAAAAAACTTAAGCAGTGTAATCAAATTAATCAATCACAGTAGAGATCGTAAGACTAACTAAGCAGTTTAGCAAATTCAACATATTGATTTCCTTACTGCTTATGACTTATTGTTTGAATTTTATTGTGTGCCTTAAAGCAATAAACAAATCGACATTTTAAATTTTCTTTTTTATGTCTCTACTGTAATCGATTCGCTTACTGCTTAAGTCTTACTGCCTTGCGTCTTTCTATGTGTTATAGCTTTTAATTCTGGGCATAATTAGCTGACGTATATCGACGTCTATTTTTTTCCTTTTTCTTAATGGAGATAGAAAAAGGAAGGCGTATAAACGTTGCTACACTTCAAGTTAATGCTCATTGTCAGATTTAAGTATCAATGGTATATACCTATATAGAAATACGTAAGCATGCAGTAGGATGTAAGCAATATATTTTATTTGCTATTGCTTACGTTATTGTCGTAAATTCTCTACTGTGATTGGCCGATTCTGCACTTACGTCTTATTGCCTTACATTTTTCTCTGTGTGACTTTTACAAATCTTGGATAGTACCGAATTAAGTAATTAATAATTATTAATGATATTAAAAAATAAAATAATAATTAATGATATTTAAGAACGAAATACAGTTATGAAAAA